CTCTCTCTCTCTCTCTCTCTCTCTCTTCTCTCTCTCTCTCTCTCTCTCTCTCTCTCTCTCTCTCTCTCTCTCTCTCTCTCTCTCTCTCTCTCTCTCTCTCTCTCTCTCTCTCTCTTCTCTCTCTTCTCTCTTCTCTCTTCTCTCTTCTCTCTTCCCTCTTCTCTTCTCTATCGCACGGTTGATAGAGCCGTTGAGTAGTTTGACATCGCTCAGTCAACCCGCAGTGCCCAAACTTGACTGTTGCCAGCCGCTGAGCGGGCCCCCTCTCAGTGCCGGGCCGGGCCGGGATCCGATTGATCGGACCGTCGGACCGTGCCACGGTGAGATTCCGAGCCCCGGGCCCCGGGCCCGGGGCGGCCGCCGGGCCCACCGTCTGAGAGGCTGGCCTCAGCCGCTGAGCCAACTCACCGTCCGATCCACTGAGTGTGCCTCAACTGGGCCGTTTCCTCCGAAGCCTGTCAGGTCACCGGGTCGCAGAACGGTTCGCCGGTGATCGGACTAAGTTACTTCACTGCAGTGCCGGCCCCCGCCCGGTATGGCCGGGCACTGCCGCGGCATTGAATAATCATTGAATTGAATCTCTTGTCCAACACGGTAACATACCTAAGTTTCTGAATCTCACGTCTAGGTTAAGCTGCACTTTTATCATTAGAACGATTCTCAGTTAAGTTATTGTACTTGAATCAGTCACATGATAGGAGACGGGGGCGTAAAGCCTGACTCAGTGAGGCTCAGTGACTCGCTCGGACCGTCAGTTCACTGAGCCGGGCCCTGCCGGCCCCCGGCCGCCACAGTGTGACCGGTAGACTCGGTGACCTGTGGGGTACTTGATTGGTAAGAAATAGGGGTACTGTGACGAGCAAGGCGGGGGTTCTGTTTCAAGGAAGAAGGTGGGGTAGGATTAGTTAGAGGTGAGGTGGGTGGGGGTACTACGTTTTGAAGATACTAGAACGAAGGGGTGGGGGTACAAAAAGTACGGGTACTGGGCTTCTGGAAGAACTTGCCCTGGGATCGATACGGGGTACTTTAAGATAAAAAAAGGGGTCAAGCATCATTATTTATGGTAGAAAGCATCTGGGACAACAAAATTGTGTACATGTGGGAGGGGTGGTAGTGGGGAGGGATGAGGGGTGACAATGGTGGAAGGGAAGAGCGATAAATGCAGGGCGACGCAAAGTGGAGGGAGAGAATGAGCAGAGAAGAGAGAGCGACGAGAAGAAGAAGAGAGTGACAAGGAGCAGGAGCAGGAGCAGTATCAGGAGCAGGAGGTTCCTGACGCGTCTCATGGGTGGAGCATGTGGCCTTGTACATGCCCCCCCTGAGTTGACGACCCTGGGTAGAAACTCGACATTGATCGCAGCATTGCCGAACGAATGATGGGAGAAGTCTAAGCTGCCATGAAACCAAGTCTGTGTAGGATGTTCCTGGCTACATGATATGCTTCCCAGAGACTCTTGAGTAGGAGTTGGTAAGCTCTGGAGGAATGGCAGACGAGGAGCGCTCGCAGTCCCCTCCTCAAGTGTACGTGTGCAAGAATGGTATCATCCAGTCGGACATGAGCATGGGCATGCCGTCGGTGATCCTGGCGGAGAACAAGGCCAACGGGATCTACATCGACGAGCTGGATGGGAAATGGGACAAGTTCCCCCCAGCTACCTATGTGATCGACAGGCCCAAGAACGAGGCGGGGGCGACAGAGGGCAACGACATGGAGAGGGCTGACCACCAGTCGTCGGAGAAGGAGGCTGACATGGACGTGCTGCACAACGAGGCGAGCCCTGAAGCAGGTGACTCGCCCCCGTCGCTGCTTCGCCTGTCCTTGACAACTCTTCTGCCAGCTGATCGCCCCGACCGCTGCAGAGACGAGAGGGCAGACGCGAAGGAGGAGGGAAATGAGGGAGAGTCCTCCCAGAGCAAGGGCTCTCCTGCTGACCAGCAGTCAGCGGAGAACGGCTCGACCCCTCCCGCAGACTCACATGCAGCAAGCTCCAAGCGTCCAGCCCCCGACTATGCTTCGCCTGCCGGGGAGGAGAAAGATGTGGAGGGGGCAGAGGAGAGGGAGGGGAAGAGAGCCAAGAACCAGGAGATCCTGTCGGATGGTAAGTCAGCGCAGAACTCAGACAACGAGTCGACCAAGTCCAACAACGACAACAACGACAACGACGACGACAGCAACAAAGATAGCAACAATAGTAACACGAAGAAAAGCGGCAGTAGCAGCAACAACAAGTCAGGCGTCAGCCTTCGGCCCAGGTTGGCTGCCCCTCCTCCCTTCCCGTGCCCTGCTGCTGATGCTCGAACCGCAGGAGAAGCGTGCAGAAGTCGATCACCTACATTGCGCATGGGCCGAGGGCGGGGATGGTGAAGGAGGGAAACAGGAAGCGAGAGCCGGACAAGACCAGGGAGGAGGCGAACAAGATAGCCGAGGACCTCCTGGAGCTGTCGGATCGCATCCCGTACAGTGCTGTATGGCAGGTGAGGAGGAGCAGGAGGACCAGGAGGACCAGGAGGACCTGATCCTGCCCGCTCGCAGAGGGAGCAGTCGGTATGGCGGAAGTTCAAGAAGGCCTGCAGGTCAGCCACCGGGGGCAACGACCTTGCCCAGCTGCTCGCCTGGCTGTCGCTGCAGGTGGAGTGGAGGTTTGAAAAGGATGGCAAGTGACCGCCACGGCATCAGGTTCGGCCGGAAGCTGAAAACAGCTGCTGGTGCGGACAGAATGTCGAAGGTTCTCAGCATGAGGAGCGGAGGGAGATTGTTCTGACGAGCTCTTGTTTTCCTGTCCCCAGAGTTTGCGCGGCAGTGCAAGGTCAGTGATGCTCTGTGTTGTCTCTGTGTTGTCTCTGTGTTGTCCCTGCTCTGGAGGAGCTGGTGAGGGAGGCGTTTATTCGACTGCAGAGTTGCGAGTCGCTCGATACCGTGCGAGATCTGATGAGCACTTATGAAGAGAAGGTCGCCTCCTGTCCTCTTCCTCTTCCTCTTCCTCCTCTTCGTCGTCTTTGCCCTCCTCCTCCTCCAGCTCTAGATCCTCCTCGTCCTCGACCTCGTCCTCGTCCTCGTCCTCGTCTTCTATCCTCGTCTTCTATCCTCGTCCTCGTCCTCGTCCTCCTTCATCTCCTCCTCCTTCTCCTTCTCCTCCGCCTCCGCCTCCTCCTCCTCCTCCGCCTCCTCCTTCACTCTCCTTTCCTCGTCCCCTGCGTTGTCTTCTTTCTCCTCCTCCCTTCCCTCGCTCCTTCCTTTTCATGACTCTGCGGCCCCCAGGCGCTCAACTGGAAGTACCTGGCAGACTTGTTCTCCATGTGCGTGTTGCCTTCCTGCCTTGACCTGAGTGTGAGTGTGCGGGGGCAGGGAGAGGGGAGAGATTTCTACGTGGAAGAGCGACAAGGAGGAGGAGGAGGCAGGACTCTCAGGGACGAGGTGGGTGAGCCAGCAGCGCATTTGGTCGATCCTGCTGTCGCAGGAGGTAAGGTCTATCCATCGCACCTCCCTCCCTCGCCCTTGCCCCTCGTATTCCTTGCTCCTTGACCTCACTTCCTTGCCGTCCTTCCCTCGTTCCCACCTCTGCTCCTTCCTCTCAACTCCCTCCCTCCTTCACGTTGACGGGGAGCAACGGCAGGTGCGGTTGAAGCTGCAAGAGCTGCGGCAGCAACTCTGTGTTCCAAGGTTTGCCCCCGCTCCTCCCTTCCTCCCTCGCATCTTACCCTTCTTGCTCCCCTTGCTCCGACTCGTTCCCCTCCCTCCCTCCCTCCCTCTCCTTCATCTCCCTCCCCTCCCTTCTCCTTTCCCTTGTCCCCTCGTCATGCTCGCTGACGGGATGACAGCGGCGAGACGCACGACGACGAGGTCTCGTGGATTTCAGTCTCCATCCTGCGCCATCAGGTGGGGAGGGGGAGGATGAAGAGAGAGAGGGGGGGGAGTGAGATAGAGTCAAGGGGGAGAAGGGGGGGAATGGGGAAGGAAGGAGTGAGGGAGAGGAGAAGTAACAGGAGGGGAGGCGGATCGGAGGGAGGGAGCTGGAGGCGAGGAGGAGGAAGAGGGAGAGGGAGGGAGGAAGCAGCATCACTGACGGGGAGGTCATCACAGGCTGCATGCCTGGCTCAAATTCCCCAGGGGGAGTCCTACTCGACCATGGTGAGTTTGCGTGGAGTTTGCGGGGGTTCAACGAGCTGAGAAATGTGCAGCTGAGCAACACGCTGCAGTCGGCGAAGGAGTCGGTATACCTGCTGGAGGGAGGCGGCGAGAAGAATGAGGAGGGGAGGAAAGGCTGACTGTGAAGAGGATGTAACAGCTATATTGTTTCTAATCAAACAACACCCGCAGCTACTGCGGCCCAAACAAGATGATGAGACAGAGCGAGGGCGAGGGAGAGGAGGGCGAAGGACGAGGAAGAGAGTGGGAAGTGAGGGAGCGAATTGTCAAGCAGCACAGGAGGGGGTTGGGAGTAGTGAAAGGGGGAGGGATAAAGGAAGGGGAAGGGGGAAAGAGAGGGAGGGCAGCAGCTCAAACGTTGAGCTTCTTCTGCAGCTCTTTGATCAGCTCCTGATAAACTTGATCCTACAGGCAAAAAGTCAACAGCCTGCGCCGCTGCCATGTCATGAGCAGCAAGCTACCTTCCCCTCCCGCTTCTCCGTCGCTCCCTCCGACTTCGCCTGCAGCAGAGAGACCTGTCAGCAACGAGACTCCACGAGCAAACTGCAGACCGAGAGGTCGGACGAGAGGACAGGAGGAGCCTTGGCTTGATCCATCAGGTGCTCGAGCTCCAGCGACAGCGCCCTGGCGACCCTCCTTCATCCTCCTTCCTCCATCGCTCGACCTCACCTGTCCTTCTCTTCCTCCTCCTTATCCTCCCGCATCTCAGAGTTGAAAATCTTTTCGAATCCACTCTTCTCCTTGCTGTCCTCCCCTTCCTCCTCCCTCCTGCGCCTCCCCCGGTCAATTTTCGTCCTTGTTTCATGCAAGTTTCACCTGCCCTGCTCCTGTTCCCCACCCATGTGTCCTTCAGCCGCTCGCGACGGATCCAGCTTGTTCATTTCCTGCCGGAAACTGGGGGAGGAAGGGAAGAGGAGGGGGAGGGGGAGGAGATTTCAGACGGCATAACGAAGACAGGATCGTTATCAGTCACTCACGCGTTGTTGAGCTTCATCGTCTCCGATTGCTCTCTCCCGATCCGAGCCAGGACCCTCATCAGAGCCGCGTCCTAACGTGAAGCGACTGAGCTGCTAGCTAGAAGGTCGACCGAGCTCGTTCACCTTCGTCTGAGAGTTCTTCTCCATGACGTCCTTCAAGACCAGCCGGCGCATCTTCGCATCCTTTCTCCTGTCCACACGCCATCAGGTCCTCGACTCCCCTCGCCTCCTCCGTTACCGGTTCCCCTCCTCCTCCCTCTCCATCCTCTCAAGCTCCTTCATATCCTGAGCTCAGCATGTCAGACTCTAACACGAGCAGCAAGCACTCACCTCCTCCGCCTTCTTGTCCTGCTCCTCGTCCTCGCGCTCGCTCTTCTCCACAAGGCCGTCTCCCGCATGCGCATGCCCTCTCCGCAGCGGCAGCTTCTCCATGGGGGGGTGACTTGCCGGCATCGGCGATGGAGCAAGAGGACGAGACTCCGACCGTCGCTTCTCAAGGTCCTTCCTCACCCACCCGGGAGGATGCGACAGGTCATAGTCAGACGTCAGCGATCGGTACTGGCTGAGCGGATTGAACGGGGCAACCACGCTCTGGGGGACGCAGTTCCCCCCACAGTCAGCGGGTCTGACATGCTCGTCCATGTCGTCTCGTACCCAGCGAGGAGCTGGAGGAGTTCGTCCCCTCCTCACAAACCTCTCACGCTCTCCCATCGATGGGCCGGGTGGCTCCTCCTCGTCCTCCGACCTCAAAGTCTTGAGCAGCGCGAACTTTGGCTGCAGCTGCCGCAGTGGAGGTTCTCCTCCTCCTCCTCCTCCTCCTCCTCCTCCTCCTCCTCCTCCATTCATATGGCTCGGAACAAATCGTGAGGCCCATCGCGCCTGCTGCCATTGATCATGAAGCTGCCGAATGTTCCTTAGGCTCAGCCCTGGTTTCTGAACCACCTCAGTGAAAGGTGACCATGGTGCCTCGAGCGACGTGGTTGACGGGGCATGGCGAGATACTGCAAGGAAGATGCAGCAGCAGAACAAGAGCAGGGTGCTTCCTAACGCCACACCAAGAGCTCTCTGTCTCGTCCGGAGCTCTGCCATGCCGAAAATTCTCTCGATCGGACAGCCTCCTCTCCCTCTTCTCACTTCCTCGTCCTCGTCCTCTCTCCGATCAACGGGATCTCTCTGATCCTCTGCTGCTCAGTACCCTCTCTCCTTACGAGCTCCTTCCTCCTCCTCTCCTCTCCTCCTCTCCTCTCCTCCTCCTCCTTCCCTCCTGCACACCTCCAAACATGGCCGATATAGCGCGCTGAGGGGGACCCGGAATCTCAAACTTGACCAAAAACTTTTTTGACCAGACCGTTACAATTTACAACCTCGAATCAGGGCGCCGACATGGCGGGGAGGGCGGGGGGAGGAGCAGGAGGCGTGAGGGGAGACGGGGAGAGCATGCCCTCTCCTCGAGCAAGGATAGCATCTTCCTCCTCTCTGCGACATGAGCCCGTGGGTCTGCGATCTTCCCCAACAGAGGGGTCAGTCCTGCGTAACGGCATGCTTGACACGCTATGGCGCGGGGGAGCGACAAATTTTGTACCAGATAATGTGCGGAAGGGATCAGGAGGAGGAGGATGGGGAGGAGACGAAGGAGGACGAAGAGGAGAAGGGATGATCCCCTCTCCAAGAGCGCGAGACGCAGGGTGGGATCTGAAAAAGTCGAATCCGAGCTACGTGCCGCCGCTGCGAGTTCAAGATGTGGAGAGAAATCCGATGGACTCCTTGCTCTCTCCTTCTCTCCGGGACACGTCGAGCATGCCAGAAGGGAAGACGCCGCTGTCTGCAAGAGGTATGCTCCTGAGTTGAGGCTGAGAGTCTGGCTGGACTGATGCCCCATGACGATGAGTGGCAGGGGAGAGGAGGGTGAGGTGGGGGAGCAACGATGAAGTGAGCATGGACCAGCCGCCGAGAGCCAACGGCGAGTCTTCTTTCTCTCCCAGCACGATCTCTCCCAGGAGAGTGGGACTGGATGTCCTTGAGGATGGCACGATAGTAGAGCGATACTCGGACCCCAACAACAGTGAGCAAGAGCACCTGCTTGCTTGCTGTCAGTGACATTCTGCTGGTCCAGTTTCGCCCATCCTCTCCAAGTCTCCGAGTGTCTCGCCGCCCGAGCAGAGGAGCAGCATGCTTGCCGGGTTTGCTCTGTCGCTGACCCCGTCAGAGAGCAGGAGGGGAGGACCAGAGGAACCCTCCTGGCTGCGATCGAACATCAGTCATGGTCCGTCGAGACCTTCCGAACAAGGCGCAAGAGATCCGAGGGAGCTTGTTGGAAGCAGCAGCAAGCTGAACCCTTCTTCCTCCTCCTCCTCCTCCTCCCATCGGCTGGGCGACGCAAGGAGACTGTTCGATGGTGGGCGGGAAGGAGGATCGGAGGGCAGGGGGAAAGAGTTCAGCGGGGTCGGACTGGGGATCAAGAGAGTGCGAGGGAGGGAGCAGGACGGAGGGTTTGCTCTTGAAGTGAGGGAGATCCTGCCGTTGGGGGCAGCGGCGAAGGTGATAGGAGACGACGGAAGCCCGATGAGCAGCGGCGACGTGCTGCTGGCCGTGGACGGGATGGAAGTGTCAGGTGAGATGAGATGGACTTGATCCGGTGCCGAATGATGAGGAGAGGGTAGAAGGAGAGGAGAGGAGAGGAGGAGAGGGAAAGTTGGAGGGTGGGGGGAAGGTGGAAGGGAGAATAGGAGGATGGAGAAGGAAGTGGAAGGGAGAGCAGGAGAAGGAGGGCGGAAGAGGGAGGAATAGAGGAAGGAAAGGGAGGGGAGCGCGGGAAGGAAAAGGAGGGGGGAGAAGGAGCAAGGAGGAGAGCGAGGAGGGGGAGGGCAGGGGGGAATGAGTTCGTGTGGGAGGGTTTCTTTGGATGAATTTTTTTCGCATCCTGCAGGTGAAAATGCTGACATGGCTCAAAACCTTCTGAGTGGACCGACGGGGAGTAAGGTGACGCTGCGACTTCAGAGAGGCGGGAGGTAAGTGACTGAAAGATGCGATGAGAGCGCTGAAGGAGGGTTGATGTGCTGTTGATGGAGGGAGGGGGGAGGGAGGCGAAGAGCAGCAGCATCAGCAGCAGCAGCAGCAGCAGCAGCAGCAGCAGCAGGACAAGAGCAGTGGATGAGGAGCACAGGAGAAGTTGAGGAAGGGAAGGAAGATGCAAAGGAAGGGGAGGACAAGTGGTTGGAGGGGAGGATAGATCAGCAGCAGCAGCAGCAGCAGCAGCAGCAGCAGCAGCAGCAGCAGCAGCAGCAGCAGCAGCAGCAGCAGCAGCAGCAGCAGCAGCAGCAGCAGCAGCAGCAGCAGCAGCAGCAGCAGCAGCAGCAGCAGCAGCAGCAGCAGCAGCAGCAGCAGCAGCAGCAGCAGCGGCAGCAGCAGCAGCAGCGGCAGCAGCAAGACGGGCTCGGTTCACTTATCCTGATGATGACTGATGGTTGTTGGTAGCAGGAAGGAGTACACGGTTGTCATCACGAGGCAGAAAACTTCCCTGGCCGACCCTCCAGCTGACCTCCTGCTGGGCGGGCTCGACAGACGACCCGACTCCCCGCAGACTTCAGCCCCACCTGAGCTCGAGCTGCTCGATCAACGTCCGCTGCTGACGATCTCTCCGAGGCTCAAGAGCCCGCTGTACAGAGGAGCGGGAGCGGGAGCAGGAGCGGGAGCAGGAGCAGGAGCTGAAGGGGAGGAGCAGAGGAAGCAGTATCCGAGGAGGGAGGAGAAGCCCCTGCGTCCTCCCGAGACGTTGCTGACTGTCTCGCCGCCCGATCGTTTCTCTCCTCTCCACCGCACCCCCCAACTGGCGTTCAGCTCGTCCTCTCGAGTATCCGCGGTGTCTGCTGAGAGGCCCTCGCTGCTCCCCACTAGACTGTCTGCTACCCCTACAGCTGAGCCTCATCGCGGTCCGTCAAGAGCGGCAGCTGAGGTTGTTCTGACAAGTAGCCGCAGACTCCAGCCCCCCCCCAGCTCTTCCAAGTCTTACAGAGCTTGTGACAACTGCGAGGAAGAATGAAAGCTCGAGCTTCAAAGAGATTGAGGTAAGAAAAACTCTCCTCCACTCCACTCCCTTTCGTCTCCTCTCCTCTCCTCTCCTCTCCTCTCCTCTCTCCTCTCCCCTCTCCCCTCTCCTCTCTCCTCTCTCCTCTCTCCTCTCTCCTCTCTCCTCGTCTTGTTTACTTTCTGTCCTCTCCTGATCTCCACACAGCGAAGGATGCGCGAACTTGACATGATGAAGAGAACTTTGGAGAGTGAGGACATGGACACGAGGTAGTCTCCCCCTCCTCTCGTCATCTCCTCCTCCTCTCCTCCTCTCGTCATCTCCTCCTCCTCATTCTCCTTCTCCTTCTCCTTCTCCTCCTTCTCCTTCTCCTCCTCCTCCTCCCCCTTCTCCTCCTCCTCCTCCTCCTCCTCCTCCTCCTCCTCCTCCTCCTCCTCCTCCTTCTCCTTCTCCTCCTCCTCCTCCTCCTCCCCCTTCTCCTCCTCCTCCTCATCTTCAAGCTGTTCCTGCTTCTCTTCGTTCTTTCTTGCGCATCTTCTCCGCGTCCTTGTTGAACTTTATGTTCCTGCCTGACCAAGTCTGGCGAGCAGTTTGACAAGCGAAGATTTCTCGTCAGCGATGAGGTAGGGCATTTGAAACATGAAAATGTGGAGGAGGGCGAGGACGAGGACGAGGGCGAGGACGAGGACGAGGACGAGGACGAGGACGAGGACGAGGACGAGGACGAGGAGGGGAGGAGAGATGAGAGGCTGGGACGGAGAAGCCTTAAGTCATTCACGCAGCAAACGAACGCCAACTCCTCCCAAGAGCTCAACTCCTCCTAAGAGCTCAACTCCTCCCAAGAGCTCAACTCCTCCCAAGAGCTCCCCAGAGGTGAGGGAGGAGAGGAGAGGAGAGGAGAGGAGAGGAGAGGAGAGGAGAGGGAGGGAGGGGGGGAGGGAGCGCGGGGACGGATTGGAGGGGGAGGGGTTAGGGAGGTTAGCAAGAAGGGAGAGCAGGAAGGCAGAAAGCAGCGGGAGGGCGAGGAGAAAGCGAGGAGGGGAGAATGAAATGGTTGGATCTCACTATTTGTCGTCAGTCTCTGCTCATGACGAGGAGGAAGGAGGAGGAAGAGCGGCAGAAGCAGCTTGTGGAGGAGAGGAGGAGGGGGCAGGGAACGACGAGGACGAAGGAGGAGGAGGAGGAGGAGGACCTTAGGAGCGGTCGGGAGAAGAACTCCAGGGCTGTGAGGGAAGAGTCTCCTGGTGTACAGAGCTGGAGAAGGGGAGGGGAAAAGAACGAGGGGCATCTGAGGGAGGAGAGGAAGGGAGAGAGGAAGGAGAGGGAGAGGTGGAAGGGAGAGGACGAGAAGGTCGGGGCAAAGATGGGAGGAGAGTGGCAGAGAGGGAGGGGAGGAGAGGCTGGAAAGCGAGAGGACGTCAGCAGGAGGAGGGAGGAGGAGGAGAAGCAGGGGAGATGGAAGGAGAGGAGGGAGGAGGAGGAGCAGACGGAAGGAGGATGGAGGGAAGGTTTCTTGTCTCAGAAAGTTGAAGCGCTGAGGAGGACGAGGGAGAGAGAGGGAGAGAGAAGGGGAGAGGAAACTCACAGCGCGAAGAAAGAGGAGGCAGTGAAGTCTGACGAGTAAGTTGATGTAGCATCCTTCTCAAATCCCTTCTGTTCAGGCCTCTCCTCCTCTCTGCTCCACTTGTTTCTACCTCTTCCTCACTCCTCCT